ACAGCCATAAAAATTTGATCTTTTTGCCTCTTCTATTTGTATTTGTATTTTTGCTTTTGAATTGTTTTCAACAAGTCGAGGTCGAGCTATAGTGAAGGAAAATTATTTCGTGAAATCAACTCTAAATTCATAAAAAGTAAGGCTTAATTGTTGACGATAAGTCTAGAACTAGATATGGTGATAGATGAATAACTCAAAACTATTTATGGAGTCAACTTCAATTTTATATAGGGCTTGTCTGGCCCTGCTTTTTTGAAGCAAAAAAATTGATTTCATAGTCGTTACGTGTAAAATCAGGCCGTCTTTTTTGACTAACCATCTCAGAGGTGGGGTCTATCTTGATAAAGTAACAGTCAATGTTTCAATTTTAAACTGATGAAGAATCAGCACCGACATGTCCATGAAAAGTTTTGTTGTTATTGATAAGTTGATCAAGTGATTAAAAATTATTCATGTAGTTAAACTCTAAATTCACCAAAAATAAATTGTTCGATGAGTTGATCCCAGAACATATTGATTGATCAAAAGAAATAACAATTTTTTAATTTTTTTATAGAGCCAACTCTAAATTCATATAAAAGAAAAAACTTAATTGTTGTTGTGGATAAGTCGAAGTCTCGTGTAATTTTCTACGAAAACCTAACCTGATTAGAAGGGTTTGGTAGATAAAGAAACAATTTTATTGTCCCAACTAACATTTGACTGAGGATAAATCCGAATTTTTTAAGAAAATGGAGTGTTCGAGTGGAGCAAGAAATCTTGGCGTGCGTGATGGGGTACATTGTTACGAAATTTACTTCGAATTTAAGTGATTTTTTAATATGAATTCCAGTAACCATTCTTGGGTTTACTTTGAAAATTGAGTTAATATTTGACATATCCACCCGTATAATGTCAATTTTCGCTGCTATTCATGTTTCTTTATAGTCATAATTAACTTGTGGAAACAAAATAATCGTGCTTTCTTGATAAAATACAACAGTTTCGTGGCAAATTAATCACGTATATGACATAAGATGTTAGAAAATAAATATCTAGAAGGTCGTTCTACAAGAATCCAAGTCATATAAAAATTTCCATTTCCTCGTGCATTGCAGCAAGACACCTAACATAATCTTTACAGGATACTACCTCTTCATAAGAGGTGGGTTCAAAATTCAAAGGCTCAGTGATAATTGTATTTTATACACTTATTCGGGACCTAAAATATCGATATTTGGTAATTATTTTGACAAAATATATCCTAAATTGTTGTATTTTATGTTATATATGTAAAATTCAATGGTGGAACGGGGAATCGAAAGAAAGAAGCAAAAATTGGTGAAAAATGACAAAATTCAAATTTTGATGACCAAATTGTAATTATTCAATAGTTCATTCGGACACAAGAAGATACTTTGAAAATTATTAGGAGACAATTGGATGGAATTAGAACTCAAAAAGGAATGAAATATGATCAAAATTAATTTCTAATCATACAAGTTATATTCCAGATTTTTACCCAAATATTGAGATTCATTTTTGGCATAGTAAACATCTGAATTGGATAAATTCTATTTCTATAAAAGTTGAGTTAGCAAATTAATCCTACGATTTTTTTTCTTGATTAAATCAAGATGTCATCAGTCATGCTGCATATTTTTAGATGTTGTAATATTAACTACTCAATTAGTGGGTGATACTTTAATTGGCTATTTAATCAAGAATACTATTCAATTAGTGGGTGATACTATTCAATTAAGTAGGCGGTTTAATACAAGGTGGATTTAAGTTGTTTAGTTTTTGAATCACGTGTTGCTTACATCCTGTCCGCAAGTCAATAAATTATAATCGTGCTCGCAAAATTGAGTTAATAAACAACTTGGTAGATCAGATCGACTAGTTCAATTGGAAAAATCAAGAATGAGTTTGGTTATGTGTACAAAATCAAGAAGTTAGAACCCGTTAGAAGAAGTCAAGAATAAATCGTTCACACTACAAACTATACGGTTCAACTCAAAATCGACCGATTCACTTCAAATTGCTCTCTCTCTCTTAAATGTTATCTACGGGTTGATATTTTTTTTAATCCTTTTTCATATTTTCGAGGTGGATGTCTGGGTTTTCAAAATATTATAATAATTATATCTCTTCATTAATTACGTAAATTGTGTCAATTCAACTTATCAAACATAAGTAATTTTAAGTGGAACCAAATCATGTGTTTATTTGCATTTTGGATCGATTTTCAAAACATTAGAATACTACCCCTTCCACGTTCATTTGCATTATTATTATTATTTTTTTTTTTTCATTTTTTTCCCTTACAACAATCTTTTTTTGGGATTTGAAAGAAGGACCAACACAAATTCCAGGAATTATGCAGGAAATGAGTAACCACGTGTTTAGAAGTACTATTTTACTTTATTTTGCACATTATTATAATAGCCTTTTAGGCTATAAATTCATCCAGCAAATGCTAAGAAGGAATTGCACAAAGCACAACAATATAAACGTACCATGCACATCATATACCTAAAAGTAAATGAAAAAAGAGCAACATTTTTCAAATTTGGGAAATGTAGACGAGTATTAGACATAAGTACGTGTATTATATTAATTGTGTAGCTTTTACATCAAGTTAACATACAATGCAACATGTTGCGATAAATGTCTATGTGTGCACGTCTCTTTTGATATACAAGTGTAAAGAATATGAGCTTTCACACGTAGAAGGGATTAGTCACACTACGCACATCACTTATAAAAGTTCCAAAAGGTATTTGACAAAAGAGAAATAAGAAATATAGACAAATACTAAACATAGGTACGTGTACACTGGCGGACCCCGGGGGGGTGGGGGGGGCGTGCCCCCAACTTTGCTTTGCTTCTTTTTTTTCCTATGTTTTGTTTCAATTTTCGAAATTATTATAAAATGTGAAACGAAATCGAAATATTGCATTCTTAATACTATTTCGAAGTGCTCACATTCTAATTTTTTATGTCCTTAATGGTGTGCGAAACGGTCAATCGTAGAAAATGTTACGACTTGTCAAAGTAGGCAGTTTAAAATTAGTATTTCGAAAATTTCGATAATATGTTAACTTTAAAAATTCTCCGACGATCGTACGTTAGTCGAATCTACAAATCGTTTATATCATCTCAAAACTCGTTTCAAGAACGACATTATAGGCATATTGCATAATTCAAACAGATATCGAAAATAGTTAGGGAAGTGTCAAACGTACGTTTTAAAAAGAGACGTCTAACTCGCATTTTTTAAAAAAATTAATTATTTCATTAACATTTATTATTTTTGTGATACAAATTTCTCAATGTAATTTGCATTATTTTATTATGAAATTTATATAGGATATGATATCAAAAAATTTCGAAATTTTATATCCGGAAAAGTCATATTCCGTATAAATTTTCGAATGCAAAATTACAAGGGGTATGATTTTTTTGGATGTAAATTTTTTATTGTAAAATTTCTCCCAACTTTTTTGCAAGTTCGATTGTGCCCCTGCCTTCGTCCCTGTACGTGTATTATATTAAATATGTAACTTTTACATCTAAATAACATACAACATGTGGAGACATTCATAATAATATGTCAATTTTCACTAGATGAGAGAAATGTGTTTGTGTGCACGTCTCTTATGATATAAAAGTTTTAAAGAATTGTCATTTCACATGTAGAGAGACCACTCATACCATTCAATCACTCAAATATCCCCCAAAAGGTATCAAAAAAATGAGTAACTATTTCCCAAAAAATAAAAATATAGATAAATACAAGATGTAGGTATGTGTTTTATATTACTTGCGTAACTTTACATTAAATTAACATACAACATAACATGTCGAGAATCCTCGTAACAACATATAAATTTTCACGAGCTAAGAGAAAGATATACATCTCCACGTCTCTTTTTGAGTTTAAAGAATATTTCCTGTCACACGTACCACACACATCATGTCCCAAAAGGTATCGAAATAGAGTAACTATTTTCAAAACTACCTCATGTCAGGTTTAGTTTAAAAGATGATAAAAATCTAAGATAAATCAAAAATCACATATTTCATAAAATCCATAATTTTTATCTGTTTTTCAATCACATATTCAATTAACGTTTATTAAAATGTAATAAATAATTGTTTTTTAACAAAAAACAAAACATGAGCTAAATAAGAACATACCTCAATGTCATAAACTTGGCAGGTACACGTCAACACCTCCAAAATCAAAACAATATTACGTAGTGCTACTGAATGAATCTATGTCATATACCATGTCTCTAAGTATGGCCGTATAGCAGAAGTTGCCTCGTCGGCCGATGGAAGTCGTAATCGTGGACCGGCAATTTTACCAGAAAACAGCCGCGTTGTAGTCTGACGCACACTATAGTCCTTACTACCCAACACATTCTTATTTGCTGACGTGGATTTTGGGGGCCACCTGTCCCCTATAACACAGCCAAGTAGACGTGTTTGGCAACCCTTGCCCCCCTTTGACCAAACACCAATTTAATTTTCAAAAATGTCCCACGCACTCCTTTAGTTTATTACAATTTTCCTTTTTGTCTTTGCTACATGTGGACCCCACCATGGCAAGAGTCGTAAATTTAAAATTTAGGTCATGTTTGATTACCACATTTTTCATGAAAAATGTCACATTTGAGGAAAATGAATTCTACTTTGGCCGTTTGGTTACAACGTGGAAATGAAAATTGAATTTCAAGGTACAATCACTTTAAACTGCATTTTCTTTATTTTTATGGAAAATGAATTCTTATGGGTTTGGTAGATTTTTATTTTCCAACTCGTATGGAATTGAAATTTCTTTCCACGTGTATCAAACGGACCTTTAAATAAATAATTTTTTGTGGTATTTTAATAATGCCCTCATTTCTTCTATATAAATGGTCAATCCTCTCCATTCCCTCCAAGTGCACTTCTCACCACCTTCTTCTCATACTTCTTATACTCTCTCTAAAAGACTTCTTGCTCTCTCTAGAATGTCTGTAGATTCAATATTTTCATCGCCGTTGGGTCCTCCGGTATGTGAGAAAGATGCAAAGGCACTTCAGTTCATCGAAGAGATGACTCAAAATGCCGATGCAGTTCAACGGAAAGTTTTGGCTGAAATTCTCAACCAAAATGCGCAGGCTGAATATCTTAAGCGTTTCAATATTGATGGAATTATGGACCGCGATACTTTCAAATCTGTAATCCCAATTATTACATATGAAGATCTCCAGCCGTTGATTCAAAGAATTGCTAATGGTGATCATTCTCCAATTTTATCTTCTCACCCCATATCGGAATTTCTAACCAGGTGAATAATCAAGCTCATCCCAGATTTTATGTATATTATATTAAATTTGTAAAATGATGATGAAATGGGTTTTTGTTCGTTTAATTACAGCTCTGGAACTTCAGCTGGAGAAAGAAAACTCATGCCTACAATCAAAGAAGAATTGGATCGTCGTCAGCTTCTTTACAGTCTTCTCATGCCTGTAATGAACCTGTAAGTATCGATTTGTAATAACTAATAGGGTTGACTGCATAGTATTGGATAATATTAAATAATAAAATAATTTAAGATTTTGTTTGCGGAACTTTATGTCCACTACACTGCACCAAAAGTGTCATTAAAGTTGTTCTCTCTTTGGTAATTCCATTTTTTTCCCATTTAAAGGTGTCTTTTCTTATATGGCGTGTTTTGTTTGTGCAACAGTTACGTGAAGGGTTTGGATAAAGGGAAAGGACTGTACTTTTTGTTTGTGAAGTCCGAGACAAAAACTCCGGGTGGACTTCTGGCTCGACCCGTTTTAACAAGCTACTACAAAAGTGAGCATTTCAAGACCCGTCCATACGATCCGTACAATGTTTACACAAGTCCGAATGAAGCAATCCTATGTCCTGACTCATTTCAGAGCATGTACACTCAAATGTTATGCGGTCTCTATGAACGCGAAGAAGTCCTCCGTGTTGGGGCTGTGTTTGCCTCCGGCTTACTCCGAGCAATTCGGTTCCTTCAACTCAATTGGCCACAACTCACTCACGACATACGGACTGGGTCACTCAACCCAAAAGTGACCGACCCCTCAATTCAGGAATGCATGGCCCGGGTTCTTAGACCTGACCCCGACTTGGCGGATTTCATTGCCAAGGAGTGTGCAAAGGAAAATTGGAAGGGGATCATCACTAGAGTTTGGCCTAACACAAAATATCTTGATGTTATTGTTACAGGTGCAATGGCGCAATATATTCCAACTCTTGATTACTATAGTGGTGGATTGCCCTTAGCATGTACCATGTATGCTTCTTCAGAATGTTACTTTGGGCTCAATCTTACACCCATGTCCAAGCCATCTCAAGTTTCATATACCATCATGCCTAACATGGCCTATTTTGAGTTCTTGCCCCACGATCCTAACTCGTCAGTGCATGCTTCTAAACTAGTTGACCTTGTTAATGTGGAGATTGGCAAAGAATACGAACTCGTGATCACAACTTATGCTGGATTATGTCGATACCGAGTTGGTGACATTCTCCGAGTTACTGGATTTTATAATTCAGCACCACAATTTCACTTCGTAAGGAGAAGAAATGTTTTGTTAACTATTGACTCTGACAAGACTGATGAAGCTGAACTACAAAAAGCAGTTGAGAATGCATCCCAACTTTTACATGAATTTAATAGCAGTGTGGCAGAGTACACGAGTTATGCTGACACTAACACAATTCCTGGTCATTACGTGATGTATTGGGAGTTACTAGTGAAGGACTCCTCCAACTTCCCTAGCGAGAAGGTGCTAAGTCAGTGTTGTCTAGTTATGGAAGAGTCACTGAACTCGGTGTACCGACAATGCCGAGTCGCCGACAATTCAATAGGTCCACTAGAAATACGAGTGGTAAAAAGTGGTACATTTGAAGAGTTGATGGATTATGCTATATCAAGAGGTGCTTCTATAAATCAGTACAAGGTACCAAGGTGCGTTAGCTTTACACCAATCATGGAACTCCTTGACTCACGAGTCATCTCGGTACACTTTAGTCCATCATTGCCCCATTGGACCCCAGAACGATGTCGGTAAATGGATAAAGGAGCATCCTCTGAAAGTTAAGTTATGTTTGGTGCAAGTTAATATATAATAAATAAAAGTGAAAATGACGTGATATTTTGAGGCTTGTTCAATGAATATTTTCTTTTATCCAATTAAGTAACCCAATTATGAGATAATTGACTAGTGTTTTTAGTAGGATGTTATCTCTATCTAATTATTGTTTAATACCTCAATTTATTTTTTTTATCTTGTTTTCAACAAAGAATGGGTCATTGGATTCTCGATTCTCATGTTTGGAACCTGGGAGAGTTCAGCTTAGGACCTAAGAAATGAATATAAACTTTGACTAACCTGGGAGAGTTTTCTCAATATTGCGAATAAAATAATTAATTCAACGTTTATTGCACAAATTGGTTTTTTAAATGATGTTATTAATTCGTTGTGCTTTGGCCTCGTCTCGATAGCAATGTCATATTATAACACTTAATTTTCCTGTAATTTAATGCGATTAAAATCTTTCTTTAATGACATTTACAAAATATATGACTACGATCATGAATTTGTCAATGTTTTTGGGATATATATATATACACTAAAGACGAGGAAATAGTGGGAAATAACTTGTTGACTGGAACATATTTTCACAGTAGCTTTGACCCATTAATACAATAAAAAAAGAAAAGAAAAAAGTTAAAACATAACCTTTACAAATAAAAAGCCGAAAATACCCTTGACGACTGTTAATAGTCGGTCGATTGTGAACTGACTGTTAATGGGCCAACTATTAACAGTCAACCCGGCCATTTTTTTAAGAGAAAATTACTCAAAACCCTTCTTTTCAAGGTTACAATTCAAAAATAAGGTGATAAAGTTTACAATTCAAAATTCAGGTGGTAAATATGATTATTAATTGTAATTAATAAAATTTTAATTAAACTAATAACCCCCACCCCACCACCCCGATTAATCCCAATCTCAGTA